GATTGGGGCCCTTTGTGCTGGGCCTTGCACAGACCATGACTGAGATCAGGGGCCCTGTTTTGCCAGGTGTTGCACAAACTTCCCCCCCCCCCCCCGCCCCTTGATAGGGGGCCATCATGCCAGGTGCTGCACAGACCCTGACCGAGTTCAGGACTCCTGTGGGCTGTGCACTGCCCAGCTGGTCCCTGCCACAATGACCTTCCGGTCTAAGTGGACAAAAAGGAATAATTATCCCTATTTTACAGGTGTGCAAGTGGAGGCAGAATGAGATGAACAAATGATATGGCTAGATTCTCACTGGAACGTATGAAGGGAGACTATGCTAGGCTGGGGAAGACGCTTAAGGAAATCGAGGCTCAGGTGATCTTTAGTGGGATTCTGCCTGTTCCTAGAGAAGGGCAACAAAGGTGTGACAAGATTATGACTATCAACAGATGGCTTAGGCAGGGGGCCTATAAGGAGGGCTTTGGGATGTATGGCCACTGGGAGGCATTCATGGACAGAGGACAGTTCTCTCGGGATGGACTTCATCTGAGTAGGGAAAGGAAATAGACTTCTAGGATGGAGGCTGGCACAACTGATTAAGAGAGCTTTAAACTAGGAATTTGAGGGAGATGGTTGGGAGATGTCCAGGTAATCTCCACACGGGATTTTAGCATTGAGAGGGAAGAAAACGAAGTAAGAAAGGATACAGCCGTGGGTAGGAGAATGTATATAAGGAGGAAGGGCAGTGTGGATACCAGTCTAATAGGTTATACTGGCTGTAGAATGACCATACCTAATCGGGTAAAGAATGTGAGCAAGGCCAAACAGCAAAAATTAAGATGTTTGTACACCAATGCGAGGAGCCTAGATAACAAAATGGAGGAACTAGAGCTATTGGTGCAGGAAGTGAAACCAGATATTTTCGGGATAACAGAAACATGGTGGAATAGTAGTCATGACTGGACTACGGGTATTGAAGTGTATGTGCTAGTCAGGAAAGACAGAAGTAAAGGTGGTGGAGTAGCATTGTAGATCAATGATGAGGTAGAATGTAAAGAAATAAGAAGCGATGGAATGGATAAGAGTCCGTCTGGGAAAAAATTACATTAGGGAAGAAAACTACTAGAGCCTCCCCTGGGATAGCGCGTGGGGTGTGCTAGAGACCGCCGGGATCTAATCTGGATATGGATAGAGCCCTCTTTAATGTTTTTAATGAAGTAAATACTAAGGGAAACTGTGTGATCATGGGAGACTTTAACTTCCCAGATATAGACTGGAGGACAAGTGCTAGTAAGAAGGCTCAGATTTTCCTAGATGCGATAGCTGATGGATTCCTTCATCAAGCAGTTACTGAACCAACTAGAGGGGATGCCATTTTAGATTTGGTTTTGGTGACCTCCTAGAAGAAATGGTTGTAGGGGATAATCTTGGTTCAAGTGATCATGAGCTAATTCAGTTCAAACTGAATAGAAGGATTAACAAAAATAAATCTGCAACTAGGGGTTTTGATTTCAAAAGGGCTGACTTTCAAAAATTAAGGAAATCAGTTAGGGAAGTGGATTGGACTGAAGAACTTATGGATCTAAAGGCAGAGGCGGCCTGGGATTACTTTAAATCAAAGCTGCAGAAGCTATCAGAAGCCTGCATCCCAAGAAAGGGGAAAAATTTCATAGGCAGGAGTTGTAGACCAAGTTGGATGAGCAAGCATCTCGGAGAGGTGATTAAGAGAAAGCATACAGGCGAGTGGAAGATGGGAGGGATCAGCAAGGAAAGCTACCTTATTGAGGTCAGAACATGTAGGGATAAAGTGAGACAGGCTAAAAGTCAAGTAGAGTTGGACCTTGCAAAGGGAATTAAAACCAATAGTAAAAGTTCTATAGCCATATAAATAAGAAGAAAACAAAGAAAGAAGAGGGACCGCTAAACACTGAGGATGGAGTGGAGGTCAAGGATAATCTAGGCATGGCCCAATATCTAAACAAATACTTTGCCTCGGTCTTTTATAAGGCTAACGAGGATCTTAGGAATAATGGTAGCATAACAAATGGGAATGAGGATATGGAGGTAGATATTACCATATCTGAGGTAGAAGCAAAACTCTAACATCTTAATGGGACTAAATCAGGGACCCCAGATAATCTTCATCCAAGAATATTAAAGGAATTGGCACATGAAATTGCAAGCCCATTAGCAAGAATTTTTAATGAATCTGTAAACGCAGGAGTTGTACTGAATGATTGGAGAATTGCTAACATAGTTCCTATTTTTAAGAAAGGGAAAAAAAAGTGATCCGGGTAACTACAGGCCTGTTTGACATCTGTAGTAAGCAAGGTCTTGGAAAAAATTTTGAAGGAGAAGGTAGTTAGGGACATTGAGGTCAATGGTAAATGGGACAAAATACAACATGGTTTTACAAAAGGTAGATTGTGCCGTGCCAAACCAACCTGATCTCCTTTGAGAAAGTAATTTTTTTTTTTTTTTTTTTTTTTAGACAAAGGAAATGCAGTGGATCTAATTTACCTAGATTTCAGTAAGGCGTTTGATACCGTGCCACATGGGGGAATTATTAGTTAAACTGGAAAAGATGGGGATCAATATGAAAATTGAAAGGTGGATAAGGAATTGATTAACAGGGAGACTACAGCGGGTCCTACTGAAAGGTGAACTGTCAGGCTGGAGGGAGGTTACTAGTGGAGTTCCTCAGGGATCAGTTTTGGGACCAATCTTATTTAATTTTTATTACTGACCTTGGCACAAAAAGTGCGAGTGTGCTAATAAAGTTTGCAGATGATACAAAGCTGGGAGGTATTGCCAATTTAGAGAGAGACCGGGATATCATACAGGAGGATCTGGATGACCTTGTAAACTGGAGTAATAGTAATAGGATGAAATTTAATAGTGAGAAGTGTAAGGCTATGCATTTAGGGATTAACAACAAGAATTTTAGTTATAAGCTGGGGACACATCAATTAGAAGTAATGGAGGAGGAGAAGGACCTTGGAGTATTGGTTGATCATAGGATGACTATGAGCCGCCAATGTGATATGGCTGTGAAAAAAGCTAATGCGGTCTTGGGATGCATCAGGAGAGGTATTTCCAGTAGAGATAAGGAGGTTTTAGTACCGTTATACAAGGCACTGGTGAGACCTCACCTGGAATACTGTGTGCAGTTCTGGTCTCCCGTGTTTAAGAAGGATGAATTCAAACTGGAACAGGTACAGAGAAGGGCTACTAGGATGATCGAGGAATGGAAAACATGTCTTATGAAAGGAGACTCAAGGAGCTTGGCTTGTTTAGCCTAACTAAAAGAAGGCTGAGGGGAGATATGATTGCTCTCTATAAATATATCCGAGGGATAAATACTGGAGAGGGAGAGGAATTATTTAAGCTCAGTACCAATGTGGACACAAGAACAAATGGATATAAACTGGTCATTGGGAAGTTTAGACTTGAAATTAGACGAAGGTTTCTAACCATCAGAAGAGTGAAGTTTTGGAATAGTCTTCTAAGGGAAGCAGTGGGGGCAAAAGACCTATCTGGCTTTAAGATTAGACTCGATAAGTTTATGGAGGAGATGGTATGATGGGATAACAACATGATTTTGGCAATTAATTGATCTTATTAAATATTCATGGTAAATAGGCCCAATGGCCTGTGATGAGACGTTAGATGGGGTGGGATCTGAGTTACTACAGAAAATTCTTTCCTGGGTATCTGGCTGGTGAATCTTGCCCATATGCTCAGGGTTTAGCTGATCACCTTATTTGGGGTCAGGAAGGAATTTTCCTCCAGGGCAGATTGGAAGAGGCCCTGGAGGTGTTTTGCCTTCCTCTGTAGTGTGGGGCACGGGTCACTTGCTGGAGGATTCTCTGCTCCTTGAAGTCTTTAAACCACGATTTGAGGACTTCAACAGCTCAGACCTAGATGAGAGGTTTTTCACAGGAGTGGGTGGGTGAGATTCAGTGGCCTGCGTTGTACAGGAGGTCAGACTAGATGATCATAATGGTCCCTTCTGACCTTAATATCTGTGAACATTCAAGTGGAAGGCAGGGACTGAGAGTTGGAACTTGTGAGTTCTATTCCTGGCTCTCGGAGCACAGTGAAATCTAATGGGTTAGAACAGGGGGTGCTGGGCTTCAGCACCCCTGGACTGTATTCCTGGTGCTGAGCACAGTGGCAGGGTTTAGTGGGTTAAAGCAGGGGGGCTGGGAGTCAGGATTCCTGAGTGCTATCCTGGTTCTAGGAGCAGAGTGAGCTCTCATGGATAGAGACAGGGAAGCAGGATCCAGAACTCCTGGGCTCTATTCCAGACTCGCTCTGTGAACTTTTTTATTTGAGCATAAGCTTTCGTGAGCTACAGCTCACTTCATCAGATGCATACCGTGGAAAATACAGAAGATGTTCTTGTACATACAAACCATGAAAAAATGGGTGTTTACCACTACAAAAGGTTTTCTCTCCCCCCACCCCACTCTCCTGCTGGTAATAGCTTATCTAAAGTGATCACTCTCCTTACAATGTGTATGATAATCAAGTCGGGCCATTTCCAGCACAAATCCAGGTTTTCTCCCCACCCCCCCCACAAACCCACTCTCCTGTTGGTAATAGCTTATCTAAAGTGATCACTCTCCTTACAATGCATATGATGATCAAGGTGGGCCATTTCCAGGGTTTAACAAGAATGTCTGGGGGGGGTAGGAAAAAACAAGGGGAAATAGGTTACCTTGCATAATGACTTAGCCACTCCCAGTCCCTATTCAAGCGTGAGTTAATTGTATCCAATTTGCAAATGAATTCCAATTCAACAGTCTCTCGCTGGAGTCTGGTTTTGAAGTTTGTGCTGGAAATGGCCCACCTTGATTATCATATGCATTGTAAGGAGAGAGATCACTTTTTAGATAAGCTATTACCAACAGGAGAGTGGGGTAGGGGGAGAGAGAACCTTTTGTAGTGGTAAACACCCATTTTTTCATGGTTTGTATGTACAAGAACATCTTCTGTATTTTCCACAGTATGCATCTGATGAAGTGAGCTGTAGCTCATGAAAGCTTATGCTCAAATAAATTGGTTAGTCTCTAAGGTGCCACAAGTACTCCTTTTCTTTTTGCGAATACAGACTAACACGGCTGTTACTCTGAAATCTGTGAACTTTGGGGCATGTCCCTTTCCTGCTTTGCACCTTAGGCTCTAACCATGAAACTCCAACAGAGTTAGGAACGGGATGTCCAATCCTGGCCTGGCTTTCCCTCCCGTGCAGTGCAGTGAGCTGTGCCATTCAGGGAGGATTGTCCCTCCTGTGCAGCAGCGAAGGAATCCGTTGCCACGTTGTTGGCTTGCATTTCCTGAGATGTACCCTAGGAGGATGGGAGCAGCCAGAGGGGCCACAGGGAGCTGGCAAGGACAGGGACCTGCCTCTCCGATTTTCCCCCCCTCCCACGGCAGTAAATGAGCTGGGAAGCCTCTACTGTTCCATCACATCTATGGCAAAGACCCAGCCCTCCAGGTATTGTGGCAAAGAGCTTGTATTAGGGATCTTCTGAGCGCTTGGTAGAGAGTGGGGTCTAGTGGGCTTGGAGGGGCTTGTCTAGTGGGTTACAGCTAAAAATCACAGAGCAGGGAGTTAGGCCACCTGGGGGTTTTCTGCCAGCTCTAGGAGGGGAGTGGGGTGTGGTGGGTTAGAGCAGGGGTGACAGGACTCCTAGCTTCAATTCCTGACTCTGGGGCTATTGTCTAATAGGTTTAGCTTGCCTCCCTTGGTCCCTGCACATTGCAGCCTGCTCCAGGGTGGCGGTGGCAGGGTCTCTATGCCTGTCAGACTGGGCCAACAGCAGAGAGTTTGCTGACTGAGTATTAAGTAGAATTTTGGTTGCTAGGGAAATGCTGCTATAGCTGGATAAGGAGAAATCCTCCTACTCCTAGAACTCCTTCCCCCACACTGCTCTGCCTATGGCCCCTCCTTTCCCCCACATGCACCACTGGGCCCCACTCCCCTCCCAGAGCTGGGAAAAGAACCCAGCAGAACTGACTCCCCCTCTAGTCCTAGATCTGGCATAGAACCCAGGAGGCCTCACTGGTGACTGTGTTTTTTAGCAGCATGACCATTCCCCCCGCTCTCGCGCGCACACTCACTCACTCTCTCTCCTCTTCCCCTACCCCCTAGACGAGCTCCTCAGTTCTCATTCCCTCTCTTTCATCCCCAGCTCCCAAGTCACTAACCCTCCCCACCACTGCCAGGCAGTTCCTCTCCCCGAGGTGCTAAGATGCATGGAAAGTGGGGAGAACCAACGTCACTCAGGACATTTGAATCTAGGACACAGCCTAACCTTGGGGGATAGACTGTAGGAGGGGTGATCCTGCCTTGCTCTTGCAGTCGGTGCTGACCTCCATGCCCCAGCACAACGCCGGGGGCACTCTGCTGCGGGGCTCAGTAGGGGGTGCTCTCCCCTGGCAGTCAGTGCTGGCTCCCAGTGTGGTGATGGAGGGGAATGATGCTGCAGGGAGCAGGGTGGGGCTCAGCGGATGAGTTTCAGGATGTTCTCGTAGCTCAAGAAGGTCACCGCGTTGACAGGGAAGGCACGGATGCTGTTCAGGGCAAGGCCCTTTAGGAAAACCCGGGGTCCCTCGTGCCGAACGCTGATGCGGATGCAATCCAAGACCCCGTGGTAGGACAGTCCCTTCACCCCGTCCATCTGGAGCCGGGCCTTGATCACATCCATGGGCGTGGCTAAGGCCCAGGAGACTGTGCCAGCACAGCCCCCAGCTATGAAAACTGTCATCGGGCCTGGGAGCAAAGGGAAGAGAGTTAGGGCTTAACTACAGGAGAGGCAGGGCTTGGCAGGGGCCATTACCGCTCAGTCAGTGCTGTCCCCAGGGCAGGGGTTGGGGTTGGTTGGTCAACACCTGTCAGTTTCCACCCAAGCAGTGGCTGCATTATAGCACTGTGTGCAAAGATCTGTCTTAATTGTCTTTGGCCCATCAAAGTACACACATTACACAACAGGAATCCCAGTTCCCTACAGTCTCTTCCCCCGGCAAGATGGATAGCCCCCTCCAGTCCACTTCCCCTCTCACCCGGTTCTCTCCCTGGCTCTGTCACAGCCCGGCACAGGCTGACGTAGGTGAGGAAGTAGACGGGCATAGTGGGTGTATCTCGCAGCACCAGGGCCCAGGTGCCCCGGAACAGGCCCAGTACCCCCTCCTCACGGAATATGCAGGCACCACAGTGCACCGGGCCCCGGTACTGGGCTCCAGGGCCCCCCACTGGACTCCTCAGCCCATAGGAGTGAGTCTGGTTCTGCAGCCGAACTTTGATCAGGTCAACAGGAGCCAGGACCACGGCCTGAAATTGGGGTGCGGGGGAGGGAATGGGGGAAAAAATGAGTCCCCTGGTTAGTTCCTTAAGGGAAAATACTGACATGCAATAGAGAACCCCAAGTGTCCTAGCTCCCAGCCCTGCTTGCTTTAACCCACTTCGACCCCACTGCCCTTCCCTGAGCTGGGATAGAACCCAGGAGTCTTGACTCCCAGCTCCCCCCTGCTCTAACCACTGGACCCAACTCCCTTCCCCTACCAGAGGTAGGGCTAGAAGCCAGGAGTTCTGCTCTCTTCCCCCCCATGAGCTGCCTGGTCCCTCACCTGCATCAGGCCGGAGAAGCTGCCAGCAGTGAGGACATGGGCGTAGCTGGGGGAGTTGGCACGGTGTTCGTGGTGGTGGGTGGCACTCAGGTACAGCAGGGCATTGCTGTAGGCCCCAAACATCACTGAGTTGACCAGGGCCACGCTCAGCAGTGGGAAACTCATCCCCTTAAAGAAGCCTAGGACCTGCAAGGCAAAGGGCGCCATGGTGGGATCAATGCCAGCCCTAGGCGTATGTGGCTCACGGCTCGGTGTGAGCCATGGTGAGAGTGTGATTGGGGGACCCCTCCCCAAAAGCTGACACCCATGCGTACACGCACACGCTGCTCCCCGTAGCATATGGTATGGGGGGGAGGGGCTGATCTCTGTCAGGGGCAGATGTGCAGCCCCCAGCACGAGGGGGGCCTCTGAGCTTGGGCCGGGGTCTCTTGGCATTGCCCTAATACAAATAATAAACGTGCTGCCGCAAACCGTTTCATTGCAGTATGTTTTGATCACGCAGTCCAGGATCCCCCGATAGCCAGACTGCGTCTGCAGCCGCACCTGGAATGAGACACCATCTTTAAGCGAAGAATTTGCAGAGAAACATTAACAGCAGCAGTTTATGCAAAGGCCAAAGTCCTCCTCAGAGGCATTTGGAGGTAGCATTTTCTAGCAGATGGGACTGTGGCCTGGGACTTAGGACGCCTGGCTTCTGCTCACAGCTTTGGCAGGAGAGTGGGGTCTCGCGAATTAAAGCTGTGGGGGTTGGTGCTGGGGGTCAAGACTCCTGGGTTCTATTCCTGGTTCTGCCATTGAGTTGGGCAAGTCCTTCTCTGTGCCTCTATTTCCCCTCCCAGCTTGTCTACTCAGACTGTGGACTCTTGTGGGGAGGGATTCTCACTGTGGGTCTGTGCAGTGCCTCTCCTGATGGGTGGAGGGGACCTGATCTCATGGGAGGAGGAGGGTCTGTGTAGTGCCTGGCCTGATAGGGGGGCCTGAATTCCGGCAGGGAGGGTCTGTGGAAACAAAGGCCCCGATGTTGGTTAGGTCTACCATAATAAGAAATAAATGAGTTAAAATAGCTATTGCTTGCCCTTTGAGGTGCTGGACACTGCTCTGAGCTAGCCAGTTCCCCAGCAGGGACGTATCTCCTCATCCTATCTATAGGAGAGAAGTTTTCCCTGTCCCTTCCCACCCCCTATCCCCCTACAGCAGTACCAGCTTCATATTCACCTTCACTGTGTCCACTGGGTGCCCCAAGGCCAGACCCACAGCTCCTGTGTCCAAAGAAAAAACAAGTCGGTTGGAAATTAGAACCCGCCACTGTCCTGGTAATGAGAATGGAACCCAGGAGTCCTGACTTCCCAGGCCTGCTGCTGTAACTCAGTAGGCCCACCCCCTACGGGCTAGGAATAGGACCCAGGGCTCTTTTTCTTGGGGATCCTAATGCTGCCGGCAAATGTTAAAATGGTTGAAAAGAACACAGACCCCCAGTGCGAGACAGGGCTTGATTATTTTTAACTCCCTTGTTAATGAGCAACTGGGAACTGTCACATCTTTTTCAGCAAAAATAACCTGAATTTGGCATTTAAATTCCACTCTTTAAATTGAGGAGGGCAGCCAGCCTTGTCATTATGAAGCTAGACTGGGATTCAGGGAACCTGGTTTCATTCCCTGCTCTGCTACTGCCTCCCTGGGTGATCTTGGGCAAGTCACTTCCCTGCTCTGCCTCAGTTTTCCCCTCTATAAAGGGGGCAGAATAATCTTTCCTTTGTCTATTAATTTAGATTATAAATTCTTTGGGGGCAAAAACTGTCTCATTAGGTGTTTGTGCAGTGCCCGGCACAATAGGGGCCCTAGTCTCAGTTGGCAGGGTCTGTGCAGCACTTCGCCTGGCGAGAGGGGGTCCTCAGTCTCATCTGGGCTCTGTGCAGCCCCTGGCATGACAGGGTCCTGACTCTGAGCGGCAGGGACGCGTGTCTGCGCAGCGCCCAGGAGGGTGGGAACTGGATCCTTCTCATTCTTACCTGAAATCCAGCCAGCCACAAACTCCTCCACGGGCATGGTGAGTAGAGCGCAGGGACTGTACAGGGTTCTGGGTAAGGAGAAAGATCTGGTCAAAGTTAATCCATTTAATCCCTAACTCATCCTCCTAAGTGCTTCAATCTTTAACTTGATTCTCCCCAGCGCTATGAATTGCCCTTTTCCCAACAGCAGTGCCCAGGGGCACGTGGGAAAATGGAAAAGTAGGAAATTAAGCAGGAGTTACCATGCAGAGTTAGGGTAACTGGGGGAACTCAACTGGTGCAGTATCTCACTGAGGTTAAGGGTTGGATCCACCAGCTGGTCTGGCTGCTCTCCCCCTGGGGCCTGTCCTCCACCAAAGGGACTAGAGCTCCAGGGGCCCCCTCTCAGGGCTGGATTTTCTAAAGCCCTCCACACACTTAGATGCTGAATTGAATTCAAGCTGTGCCGTTTTGGAAAACAACTCTCTCCTCAGGAAGACTCCCAGACCGAGAGAGAAGTGCAACGCCTGCTTTCTAGGATGGCTGCAGTCGTAAGCGGCTAATGACGGGTTAGTAAATGACCGTGGCCTGTGCTGAGCATGTTCTGGGATGGGACTTTCTAAAGGCTGGATTCTGCCAAGGCCTGTTCGGGCACTTACTGGGAGGCATTTGGACTCAGATCCTCACAACAATGGAGGCACCCAACTCGTGGAGGCACAGTTGCAATCAGGAACACGGGGTGGGGGGGGGGGCGTTTTGGCTTTCCTCTGACACATTGGAGATCACCTACAGCTGGAGCAGGGATAACAGGTAATGGGGCCTGTGCTCTGAGGTTTCTCTTTGTTGTAGATGGCTGGAGGGTGGGTCTTGTTCAGGGTCCAGCTGATCACCTGATTTGACAATGGGCAGGAATTCCCCTCCTGCCCGGGTCACAGTGGCAGGGACCTTTTGCCTTCCTCTGCAGCATGAGGCATGGGGCAGCTGTTGCGCTCATCAAGGTCTTACCTAATCAATCCCCGCATAACACCAGAGACGCTGGTTCTCGCCTGTTCTCTGCTTGGGGCTCACAACCCCTTCAGTCAGGGCTGGGCAAACTTTTTGGCCCGAGGGTCACATCTGGGAATAGAAATTGTATGGCGGGCCATGAATGGTCATGAAATTGGGGTTGGGGTGTGGAAGGGGGTGAGGGCTCCGGGGTGGGGCCAGAAATGAGGAGTTCAGGGTCTGGGAGGGAGCTCTGGGCTGGGGCGGGGGTGAGGGCTCTGGCTGGGGGTGTGAGCTCTGGGATGGGGCTGAGGATGAGGAGTTTGGGGTGTAGGAAGGTGATCTGGACTGGGACCGAGGGATTCAGAGGTTGGGAGGGGGATCAGGGCTGTGGCGGGGGTTGGGGTGCAGGAAGGGTGCAGGCTCTGGCTGGGGGTGTGGGCTCTGAGGTGGGGCTGGGGATGAGGGGCTTGGGGTGCAGGAGGGTGCTCCGGGCTGGGATCGAGGGGTTCGGAGGGCAGGAGGGGGATCAGGGCTGGGGTAGGGGGTTGGGGAGAAGCTTAGCAGTGCAGGCTCCTGGTTGTACTTACCTCAAGCAGCTCCCAGAAGCAGCGGCATGTCCCTTCTCCAGCTCCTATGCAGAGGCGTGGTCAGGTGGCACTGCACACTGCCCCATCCGCAGGCACCTCCCCTGCAGCTCCCATTGGACTGCTGGAGGGGGCCATTGGAGCGGGATCCTTGGTGTGCGTAGGAGCCAGAGGGGGGCCATGCCACAGCTTCCGGGAGCTGCGTGGAGTGGCCCCCGACCCTTCACCCGAGCTGGAGTGGGTCAAGTCCCAGACCCTGCTCCCCAGCAGGAGCTTGAGGGCTAGCTTAAAATGGCTGGTGGGTGGTAGTTTGCCCACTTCTGCCTTAAGCTCTTGAGGGTGGAAATACTAAAGTCATTGGGCTCAACCTACAACTGTCTGGGTGAAGTTTAATGTCCTGGGATATTCAGAAGGTCAGACAAAATGATCTAATGATGCCATCTGCCCTTAACCTCTGAGACCCTAGACATCACTCCCCTCCCAGAGCTGGGGATGAAACCCAGGAGTCCTGACTCCCAGCCCCCCTGCTTTAACCACTGTACCCCCTCCTCTCCCACAGTCAGAGACAGAAAGCTTGCCTCCTCTCCCCCCCCCCCCGACAAAGGATGGTGTGGGGTTAAAGAGCCAGCACCGTTTTTCCTAGCCAGGATGAAAGCAGCTTCCACAATCCCAGGCCATGCCTCCCTCCCAGCACCAGCCGGCTGTCTTTGCAAACCTTTCCTCTCCCCCTAAGCCAGGGCCCTGAACAAGTTTGCAGCACACGCACGCGGAGTATGCACTGGGGCCCTAACAGCGAGCTGTATGCATAGACCGCCCTAACACCTCGTGCAGTGGCCCTTAGCAGCTAACCCTCCTCTCTGCACCCCACGGGCAGATTTACCCCACGGGGCTGGGGGGGCACAGCTCAGCCAGAAACCAAATCTCAGTGACAGCAACCCGGATTATAGTTGATTATAGACATGCGCAGAAAAAGAACGAAAAGTAACTATCATATCAAAGGTTTCAGAGTAGGAGCCCTGTTGGTCTGTATCCGCAAAAAAAACAGGAGGACTTGGGGCACCTTAGAAACGAACACATTTATTTGAGCATCAGCTTTCGTGAGCTACCGCTCACACCAATGAAGTGAGCTGTAGCCCACGAAAGCTTATGCTCAAATAAATGTGTTCGTTTCTAAGGTGCCACCAGTACTCCTGTTCTTTTTTCGTCATGTCAAACTACCACTAGAGGGAAGCAGACACCTACTTAACTGCACTCGTTGTTTAGGGTAGGCTCTGAAGGTCCTAACTGAGATCCGAGTCCCCATTACGCCCCGTTAATCTTGACTGAGAGCAGGGTATGGCCCATGCTGTGCTAGGCGCTGCATGGACCCTGACTCAGGGGCCCCACTTGGCCAGGTGCCATGCAGACCCGCAGTGAGAGCAGGGCGGTGCAGCTCAGACCCTGACGGAGCTCGTGGCCCACGTCCGCTCGGGTGCGGCACAAACCCTGACCCAGATCAGGGCCGCGGCGAGCTACACCCACACGGTGAGAGGCCGTCCCTGTCCCAAACTGCTCACAGCCTGACAAACGAAGGGTGGGAGGGGACACAGAGGCTCAGCCGCGGGCCAAGCGGGGAGTACTCACCCCTGTGCCTGCGTGTGATCCTTGCCCTGTGAGCCAACGCCTTCGGCGGGGCGACTGGGTGCAACTGGCTGCCCCCCAGCGCGGTGGATCGCCTGCTGCAGCCCCTGCCGCAGCGCCGGCCCGTGTACCTGCCCCCTCCCCGCGTTGGCAGCGCTGGCTCTGACGGGTTAAAAATTCAGTGTTGGGCTTGGGGGGCCAGCTTAGAACCTCGGCCCCATAAACCTGCCCGGGACCAGGGTAACCTTTACACGGAGCCATAAACCTCCCCGGCCGCTCGCTAGAATTCCGGTGCGGGCGCCGCCGACAACCGTCGGGCTCGGCGAGGCGAGTCTCCGTGACGTCACGCAGCCAGCGGCGGGCGGGGATTGGGCGGGACATCCCTTCCTCCAGCTTCCGGGGCCCGCGGCCCGCGGTGCTTCCAGCTGCACAGACCCCAGCAGGGAGCGGGAGAGATTCGGGCGGGCGGCGAGTGACGGCGCCATGGAGGTAAGAGGGGGCTTAAGAGGAGGTCCCCTGGGGCTTTCCAGGGGTCTGGGCTGCCCTCCACACAAGGGATTCCCTAGGCTTCCTGCTCTGGGGCCCCGCACCCCCTCCCACCCCAGGGACCCTGCACCCCTCCCCGCCACGGACCCTCTGCCCCTCCCTCCCAGTGCCCCGCACTCCCTCCAACCCAAGAGACCCTATGTCCTTCCCCCGCACCGCTCTCACACTCGAGACCCTCTGCCCCCCCTGCTGTGGGGACCTGCACCCCTCCTCCTTGATCCAGCTCCCCCTCTGGCCCTGCATCCCCTCTTCAGAGGGCCATGTGGACCCCCTCACACACACCTATCTAGAGGGCTCCCAGCCTGGGGCTCTGCATGCCCCGCAAGGATCTTTCCCGACCCCCCGGCCCTGGGATATCCCTGGGTTCCCCCCAAGGGGACTCCCTGCCTCCCCCCTCATCCACTGTCCCCCCCCCAAAAGGGTCTCCCAGTGTTGCTAAGATACCCAACTAGTGGGCCCTTACACTTCTAGCTGGAGGCTCCTATCCCCCTACTTGGGTCCAGGAACCCCCCTCCCCCACACCAGCCCAGGTTCCCCAGTGCTTGGCTCCCATCTATGCTCTCCTCGAAGCCCCTGGAGCTGCCTGCTCTCACCACTGGGATGTTTATCCCAGTGTGTGTCTTCCCCCCCCTCCAAAAAAACCCCACCTCTGTCTGGGGGTGTCTCTCTTGGTAACACCCCCCATCATGGTCTGAAACCCGCCCCCCCATGTTTGTGTGTCTGCAGATGGAAAGAGCAGATGGGGCTGCTGTCCCCCCGAGCTCGGCAGATCGCTCCCACCGAAGCAGCATCTCCTCCATGTGTGCCCGATGTAGGTGACGTTTGGAAGGCGGGTGGTGTCTCTTAGAGGAGAGTGGGGGTCTGGTGGATTCAGGGCAGGGATTGGGAGCTAGGACCCCTGGGTTCTTTTCCCAGCTCTGGGAATGGCTCTAGACTGGGGGGTGTTGGGGCAGAGAGGCAAGACTCTTGGGTTCTGTCCCAAACTTTGGGATTGGATTTACTAGAGTGTCTCACACTTCGTAATTTGTGTAGGCTGAACTTATTATGCACCCTGGGCTCCTTGTGTCCCTCCATTTCCACATCTCCTGTTCTCCCCAGCTCCCTGTATGCAATGCCCACATCCCCCTCTATTTCAGGGACTCCCTGCAACCCCATTTCCTTTTTCTCCCATGCCGGGGGCCGTATATGGCCTCCCATTTCTCCCTTTCCCGTTTTTGTGACTTTTTTTCACCAAGTTCTATAGGGATCTGCCAAGAATATTACTGGAAATTTTGGAGCGACTCAGATGTAGCGTTCAAAAGCTACCATGTTACAGATAGAGAAATGCCCTGGAGTTGAACATAAAGGTTGATGTAAGCCAACTCTTGGGCCTCTGTTGAGTCAGCTGTGTCATGGCTACAGCAGGTCAGGACTTTTTCCATGCACTGTTTGTCACCCAAAGATGCAACTTTGTCAAAACCAAAACTGTTCATGAAACAGGGTTGGTTTTGACAAATCTCTGAGCTGAAAAACTTTTGGAAAAATAAAGAGTTTTGCGGTTAAGTAACAGGCTGTGTCGTCTTTTTTGAACTAGAGAGTTCTGGGGATTTGAGTCAAAATGATGTGGTGTTTGGAAATTTTAGCAAATATAGATTTAAAAAGATCAAAATTGAAATACATCAAAACTGATCTGGACTGAAAATTTTTTCAACTCTTTGGTTTGTGAAAATTTTCATGTTTTTGACTTTTCATCTTAGTTTGGGAAGGAAAATGTTTTGAGGTATCAAAAACTTTTATGAAACAGGAAAACTATGACCCTCTGCTCTCCTCTTAGCACTGGATGTCCTGGTATATCTGATCGATGACACTGCGGTGCAGCTGAGTGTGGACAATCTAATGTCTGTCACTGTGCATGAGCTACATCGCATCGTCCGGGACGCCCTGCAGCTTCCTGAGTGTGCCATGGAAGTCTTCTCCCTGTGGCTCATCTCTCCCTTGCTTGGTAAGGTGCTTGGTTCATTGTCATGATCTCTTATGCTACACCCCCTCCTATCTCCCAGGGAGGCCTGTGCACAGCCTCCTGTACTGTTGCATTACCCAAGACTTTGCAAGACTCATCACCCCCTTTTACAGGTGAAACTTAGGCACAGAGAGGGGAAGGGACTGGTCTGTAGTCATGGTGGAGCTGGCAATGGAACCCAGGGGTCCTGACTCCCAGTCCCCTCTCAGAGCAGGGAATGGAACCCAGAAATCTGGTTCCCAGCTCTGATCACTAAGCCACAGTCCCCTCCCATTGCTAGGGATAGAACCCAGGAGTCCTGACTCTCGGCCCAGTGCTCTAACTGCTGGACCTACTGTCCTCCCAGAGCTGGGCATAGAACCCAGGAGTCCTGACTCCTGGTCCTGTGCTGAAATCATTAGCCTGCCCTGTCTTTCCACTGACAAAGTATTTATCTGCTTCTCACTTCGCATTGTCTATTTCGGATGTAGTAAATGGTTGCTGTTTGATTTTGGATAGGTTGGCTGTTGTGTGACTCAGCCATTGTTTGTTAAAATAAATAAAGAATGAGGAAACTTCCTGTATCCATCCACCTGTGTTCCTAAATAGAGGTTCTGAAATGCTTTCTGTTCTAAACAGCCTCAGCTGTTAGAGGTGGTCGCATCTCTGTGGTGAGCGAGGGAACCCTGTATAAACATCACCCCAGAGGTGGCTGCATTTCAACTGTCATTAAAGCAACTGCTATGTTTGTAATAAAGTGTTTTTGGAATGCGGCTGTTGTTTATACAGAGGTCCCTCGGTGGGTTCTGAGGTACGGCTGCTCCTAGAGTGGGGTGCAGGGACTGTTTATACAGGAGTTCCTCACTGAGCATGTGATGTTACATTGATTTACTGTGATGAACACTAGTAACATTCCCTCTCTTGCACACTTATCGGACAATCTTCCGCTTTAAGTGCAACCAGTAACTCTGTGTAAAAGTCCTTCAATTGGCTCTGCCTTGTGGGGCCTGAGCCCCCAGCCGGAGGGGTGTTATCAGGAAGTGTTGAATGGCAGGCATTGGGTCAACCTGGGGCTGTTGATCCTGAGTCTTCCCAGCTGGGAGCATGTTGGGAGCAGAACGGAAACTTCCAAGGAGCATCCAGGCAAAATGAATCATTTCATGGCACTGTTCCAGCTAGCTTAGCTGTTGTTTTTGTCTCCTGGCTTACATCTGTTCCCTTATCTCCAATCAGCTTCCCCTCCCTAACACATCCCTGCTGTAACCTGTCAGATGTTCCTTGCTTACCCTCTCAGACGTCCCCCAGCCTGCTGGTTTTCATTAACCCTCTCCCGGTAATAGTCCCAGCAATGTCTGACTGTCTTCAAAACTTAGCATCTCAGGCTTTCTAGCAGATGCAATCAGTATTGCTGGGTTTGATGCCCTCCAATGTGAAGGGAGACTGGGAGTCAGGGCTCCTGGGTTCTTTCCCCAGCTCTGGGAGGGGCGTGGGGTCTAGTGGGTTAGAGCACGGAGCCTGGAAGCCAGCATTACTATTAGTACAAGCTGTTGCATCTGTCATTGGGGCTCAGTCTCTGTCTGGGTGCCTAGATGCTGTAACTAAGGCTAAGTTTTAGTCACGGGTATTTTTAGTAAAAGTCATGGACAGGTCACGGGCAGTAAACAAAAATTCACGGGGGGAGGAACGGGCCATGGGTGCTTGGTGTGGGGGGGAAAGAGCCGCGGTGCATGGCCCGGGACCCCCGCTGGGGGGGAGGGGTGGCAGCACACAGCCCAGGAGTGGACCCCCGCTGGTGCTGGGGGGCGTTCGGTGGCTGGCAGGCTCCTTACCCGGTTCCGCGCAGCTCCGCGGAAGCAGCCGGCATGTCCCTGCAGCTCCTAAGGGGAGGGAAGGCCAAGGGGTCTCCACGCTGAGTCTGCAGCT